TGGCTTTCCATCAACATATTCTTATCACCACCCACCAGAAAGCTGCTCCACCTAGACCTGACCTGTCTGTAAGCACAGAGGGCCTACAACCACACATAGGGTAAAAATAACCTCACAGACAGTATGTACAGTCACCCGAGCCCCAAACACCTCACGCGCCAACCAGAAAACACACACACAAACCAAAACACATGAAGGGTAACACACACTGCGTGCGTGTCTGCCAGTGAAGGAGTAGGTAACCTGTGTGGTGACAGGGATGAATAACTGGGCTACATTTAGATGTGGCAAATCCATCTGCTATCCTACATTACAGCACTTTGCTGATGGGAAACTCGGCCAATGGAAACTGCTCAAAGGTTTGCACTTAGATGTCATGTGCTGAGAGGAGCATGTGAAGTTGGTGATGTTGCGTATGACTAGCAGAGCATGTGAGCGGAGCGGAGCGTGAGCGGAGCGGGGAGCGGAGTGGTAATATTTCCTTAAGCCGCTTCGCTCACATGCTCTGATGACTAGATGAAGGACGTCGCATGCTGAAGTTTAATACTTAAAGTTGCAATGAAAGAAAGTAGCAACAGATCTTTTCTTCCATATTTTGACATATGAAACAGATTATCGGGGGAAAAATGTATGGTGGGGGCATGGTTCTATGCATCGGTTGTTGATTGGATTTTGAGATGTAAGTGTTGAACTCATATGGAGGCAGATTAACGTGAGCTTGCAGAAAAGGGTTTAAGCGGACTAAGGGGCTGTTCACACATAATGAGTTTTTCAATTTCACTGTGCTACTTTGCATTGTTTTTCTACGCAAACACATGCTAGACGGACATGTTTGTTTGTTGCGCTCGCATCTTTTGTCTTTGTCGTGTGCATGACAACAATCTAGGTCCAAAAAAAAAAAAAGCTCACATTAAGATCTATAACAAATTTTTAGGAAATAGATAGGGTGAAATTTCAAGACCTTGACACCATGCATGAGCAATAGTAACAGTGATGCTTGCTTTAGCATTAACAACTAATGCTGAATCAAAGGACTCAAAATTATAGGCACAATCCAGACTGTAAAACTGCATGCAATGAAGTCTACACACTATAGATTATGCAACTATCCCATATTATATGCTAGGGATGGACTGTGTACTTGAATATTTGAAGGCGACAAATCATCCATGAAACTAATGATCGATGCATGATGGGACTGAATTCTAGAAACACTGCATTTTACTGAATTCTAACAGTAACAATTATACACAAGCGTGTCAAAAATGGGTCTAATTTTCAATTTTGCAATTGGTAATAGAAGTCATTTTCTCCAACACTGCACATATATACCTAAAACACAGGACATGTTCCTCCATTTTTTAAACAGCTAGATGGCAAGCAACTGATTAAATCACAAGATGTTGAAATGCATTTCAAAAAGTATTTTAAGATGTTTTCGTGCACATGGGAATCCTATGCAGAATAAGCTGATGACGTGTGAGTGGGATGACCATGCAAGATGACAGTCAGTGGATGCAGTAACCAGCATGTTGAGTTCCGCACTCTCTATTCGAACCCAGAGCGTGTCATTAAGTATCACCACCCACCTGGCTGCCTCCCCCAGTCCCACATCTCAATGATGGAGTGATGGAAAGACGAAGCCGCCTCCTCCTCTTCCTTCTTTTCCTTATCGTTTGTATCATCTTTCTTTTGGGTGCAATCAGCACAGTCCTCTGTGAAGTGGAGAAATTTTAGACATTTAGAAAACTAGAAATCATCATGAAAAGAATCCAACTTTACAAATATCTAGAAATCCACTAGGAATCAATGGTAACGTGGCTTTTTACCTGGATGGGCGGACTCTTCTCGATCAAAGACAATCTCTCCATCCTTCACCATCTCGTTCCACATCTCGTTCAGTCCTTCAGGAGAGAAGGCTCGCTGTACCAGAGAGGAGATATTATTATAGCTGTATAATCTTTACCTAACGTTTAACTAATATATATAAATATATATACACACACCCACACAACAACAACAACAACAACAACATCTTGTCTCATATACAAAAATGGCAGAGAAGGCAGATATCTTTTGGTGACTGACCATTAGCATCTGTAACATTTCTATTTCAGCCAACTAGTCAGCACATTAAAATGCCTCCAAAGGCTCACTGAGGACTTAGCGATAATTACTGAAATTCAGAGCCCAGACTCAAGTTTCAAATGTTAAAAATTAATTTAGACACCAGACTTCAAACTGTAAAAAGCAGAAAGACTTTCACAACCACTGAGTTGAGTGAGGCTAATAACAGCTACAGCACCTTGAGCAATACTCCAGACAAATGTCACAGAGACCCAAACACACAGATACACATAAACAGCATTTTGAGGTGTTGATTTCTTCAGCTTCACTTCACTACCAGGAAGCAGTACTAAATTCATCCAGTGTTTTGAAACTGAATCTGTTGAACAATTATTCACAGCACATTCATTTTCCCTTCAAAACAAGAGGATATTTTTGCAAAAAAGATGTCAATAATGATATAGTGGTTAAAGGCATAATGGGAAACCATAATTAACAGAGAATTGGGCAGTCTGGAGAGAAATAAAATTGCTGTGTCATCACTTTAATATAGCAATGTACCAACTGACAGGGCTTATTGTATAGTTTAAAGCATTAGCTGACAAAGAGATTTTTTTCATGGAAAAAAAAAATTGACATACTGTACCTGATTATCTATATAATCAAGTGAAACAAGATCAAAACTGAATCAAATCGCAAGATTGTGAATCGAAATCTAAACAAATCAAAATTTGTCCCAGCACTACTTACTGAAATTATAAATATACATATGTACATTTATATATATACATACATACATACATACATATATATATATATATTAGGGGTGTAACGGTACACGTAAAAGGTTGCAATAATGCAATTTAATAAATAAATATATGTGCTGTGTGTTTCAGAGTGAAGATGTTCTTTTATAAACAAACAGCAACTGATCTGGTGTTTTCAGGGTCTCAGAAATGCTTGGTTGGAAGTAAATTCTGCTCCTAAAGAACTCCATCCGTGCAAACACTGTGATTTAGGTCACTTATAATGTGCATTTGGGAATGCAACCTGCGCCAACCATCATCCCAGATTTGTAATGAGAAGCGTTTATAAACCGGATGTTGTTGACAAAAGAAAAGATTTAAAGGACTGTGGTTTTGTAATAAAAGCTTGATGGTGTAATGTTTCAAAATGAAGAAATTAAGACAGCATTAAACATTAGTATTGTAATTGTACAGTTGTATGGTTTAAATAATAAAGTTATTATCATTATTGTTGTTATTTTTCCCTTATTCAGTGAAAATTACAATAGCAATGTTTCCTCATTTGTTTAATATTTTTATTCAGAAATAATAATCACTAAAAATAATAACAGTGCGTGTGTTTATTTTTAACTGAAGAATCACAATTAGATTTTTTTCCACAAATCATGCAACCCTATTAATAACATCTCACGTCCCAATTTAGAAAAAAAGAACAAAACGATTCTGCTTCTGACATTAAAGTCACTGATCCATATGACCATACTAAAATGAGATATGCAAACATTCAAAACAAAACTGACAAGCAAACACATCCTGTTTTAAGTATTTCAGCCCTTGTTTTGTTAAATAAGTAACTAATCTTTATACTTCTCACAAAAAAAGGGACCCAGACAGCTTCTGGCAACCTCACAATAATCATAAAATCAGGCCGCATGACAAGTTTTCCTGTGAACACCAACGGAAGGCCAGAAAAATAAGAATAAAGAGACTTTAAAATAAAGAGTTTGCTTTAAGAGCTCTGACAGCAAGGCACATTGACTGAAATGCTGTTACCCCACTGCTAAGGGAACAGTGTTTAAAAATTCACACAATACAAGCTTTTCAACAGTTTAAGACCTTAAGCGATACTTTTAATATGCTACTGACCAGAAGAAATTATCTATCTATTGCCACTCAGCATCAGTACTCACCGAGAAACAAGATTCAAAAGATTCTCAGTGTCAAAAAAAACATTCCCGTTTCTGCTGAAGCTTAAGTACCACGCTGCTTGAGTCACTGAACACAGCTATATAGATGAAAATGTTGGCCAACAGTGCAACCAAATAGCTTTCGGATAAGGACTTCAATAAATCCCTGCCCACCCCCCTAAAAAACAATCAACACTCTATATTTAGCATTAAAGACGGTGACCGATGACCAAATTCATTCTAAAATTTACCTGCAAGTCTATCTTCAGCCATTTGTCATGGAAGCGCAGCTGGGCATCAAGGGAAAAAGATGGAGATGGCATCCTTCCCTCGGCTGTCCAGGCTTCCCTAAAGAGACACATTCATGGATCAAACGAGAAGTTAACACTGTGAAGCTCTGCCCAGCAAAACAAATCACATCATGCTATCTGCACCTCATTAATACATCTACCCCCCCAGTTAATATTGATTATTTGTATATGGATTTTTCAAAGGCGCAGTAATTCAGTGCAGCACAGTCTGTTGTTGATGATGCAATCTGACAGTTTCAGATAATTGGGAAACATCTTCATAGCCAAATTCATAAAAAAAAATTTAATTCCACATTCAGTATAATACTTAGTGTTTAAAATATATCTTAAACATCTAATGCATTGCAAAAACAATAAATTAGGTCCAGAAATAGTTCACCACACATCGGAAATCTCCTCTTCCCAAAATTCATATGAATTTCAAGATGTTTTTGAAGAATTTGTTTTCCATTAAATTAATTTCTGTACCAAGTCTTTTCAAGTCATATGATTATATCTGAGTGAGAAAACCACTGCAGTTTAAGTATTTCTTCATTGATAATCTTACACGGACACTCCAGTTAGCTGTTAACCAATCAAATTGAATCAATAAGTCAATGAACTCAAGAAACCCCAAGATTGAATCTGTGACTTGGATAAAGCAATTCTAGAAATATAAGTGCACAAATTTTATGTCCTTGATGAGGTTTGACATAGTTAGTCGCCACTCATTGTCACTGCTCAACACATTCTTCAAAATTTCCCCTTTGTCTTCCAGAAAGTCATATGGTTTTGGAATGACATAAGGATCTGTAAATATTGGCATATGTTTAATTTTTTGGGAGAACACTCCCTTTAACTTCAAGCATAAAACAGCCTTGAAATGTTAAAATGAGTCTTCCACGTCTTTCCACACTTCATAAAATTTATAAATTAGCAAATTCTAGCATACAAGCAATAATATATAAAAAATAACACTATTCAAAATGAGATTGTGGTACTGTGTTAAAGCATCCACACCTGATAGAACAGGAGAGCATCAGTGAAATAATTTATTAAAACAAACTGGGTGTTGGCTTGGTCATATTCTCCTATCCATGTCTAATCATCGGAGTCCAAATGTAGATGTGAGCAAAATATTGTTTGTTTGTTTTTAATCAACAGATGTTGCTGTAATGCTGCAGGGTGCTATCCGTGATCGGTGTGTTGTTGATTGAACTCAGGCTGTCAGCCGCTAGCAGCTAAAAGACAGGACGTTCCTAAATACTGACAGCGCTTTGACCTACTATTCTTGAACTCACCACAGCCTATTAATACCACAAAACAGCTATATTTTCCAGTCCTAGAAGTCATTACGGAATCAACGCATGTTTTACCTGTCTGGATGTCTTATTGAATCCTTGCTTCTTCGGTCCTACCACCAGCTTTACTGCACTTTAATGTCGGCCATGTCGTGTGTGGACTTGAAACTCAGATAATGCAAGAATACATATTTAAATATAATAATTACACTGTTTTTATTTGTGTTCAAACGCGTACAACTTAAAATAAAGAGTTAGATTACTCTTTATTAGATATTGTCTCTCTCTCTCTCTCTCTCTCTCTCTCTCTCTCTCTCTCTCTATATATATATATATATATATATATATTTTCTAATAATGTTTAAGGGAAATCATCTTCAGTTCTGACTGGTGACTGGTCACGATTTTTTTTTTAAAGTTTTTAATCATTTCATTTCCTTTTTTAATTACACTAGGTTCTTTTAAATGTTCATGATGTTTGAAAAATTAATTCTTAAATTCAATATAGTTTCACAATTAATATGAGCTCATAAAATAGCATGAGTAAAATTATAAAAGAATTAGGTAAATACTATTTTAAAAAGTTTAATTTTATGTATTTTTTAAAAATGTATTTTTAAGGGATTTGAAGATCTGCAAATAAGAGAGGACGGGGGTTTTTTTTTTTTTTTTTTGCATATATGTATAAAATAATTTATTATCCATAAATTTCACATTACCATCACCATAGTTTTAAAGTATATAAAAAAATAAAAAATAAACCGAAGGTGATCCCATAACTTTAGTGTAAATTAGCGTTAATAAAATAAATGTTCCAATGTCTATTTAATAAAAATTCTGTCTCTCTGCAGTAGAGGTCGCTCGTTTGTCAAGTAACTCCTGGGAATATACTTCCGGAATGTACTGAACATCGGTTCATATGTTTGTGTGCCTGCCTTTCTAGTCGAGTAACAAAGCCTACAACATAACAGGCCTATGAGGGCTTCATCAGCAGCAGTGAAATCAAAGAGTGATTTAAAAACTGACTTTGACCGTTCATAAAATCGCATACATTTATGGACGAGGCTTCATTCCCAGTAGTTGGTGTTGTGATTGCTGTCGTGTCCAGTTTTATCAATGGATCCACGTTTGTACTACAGAAGAAGGGGATACTGCGAGCCCGCAAATCAGGTATTTCACATCAAAGGACCATTATCCCCATATTCTGTCCCAAAGCAAAGTTACACTTCCTGTCCAGATGAAAAAAGTCCAGATTTAATATTTAAAGAATGATCTGCTGTATGTTGATACAGGTGGGACCTACCTGACTGACTGTGTGTGGTGGTGTGGTACACTTGCAAGTGAGTCTTTCCTCTACTACTACTACTACAAATAAATTGTTAGTAATGGTTGTTTAAAAGTGTGTATTGATGCCTTTTTTATAGTGATCGTTGGACAAATAGGAAATTTTCTGGCATACAATGTTGCCCCTGCAGTTGTGGTCACTCCCCTTGGAGCCGTTGGTGTCCTATTTGGGTGAATTTCTTTATTATATTATATTCAAGGCATTCTACTCTAATTTAAATGCATTTGATGCAGTGGTCTGAGCAATTTCAAAGTAATTATTAAAGCAACAACAACATTTGACATTTGTTACATTAACATTAGCATATCAGGGCACCTTTACTGTGAAATGGAATGATTTATGTGATTTTGTTTATTCATCATTAATCAGGGCCGTTCTGGCATCCTGGCTTCTTCAGGAACATCTCAATCTCATAGGGAAACTTGGCTGCGCTTTGTGCTGTTGTGGTTCAGTTGTGCTCATCATTCACTCACCCAAGAGTGAAAATGTCACATCAAGAGCAGAACTAGAGGAGAGACTGATGGACCCAGGTATGAAAAACATGTCTGGTGGAGCCATAATTCATCTATTCTCAGTGGTAGCCCAGGGGTTAAACGGATGCGAAATCCAAAAGAAGATATTTTAAAGAATATTGTTATACCACACAGTTTCAAGTTCACATTGATTATTATTTTATGGACAAAAAATAAAATTACAGTCAATGGAAACCAAAACTGTTTTCCTACAAACATTATTTAAAATATCTTCTTTCGTGCTTTGCTGAAGAAAAAAAATCATACAGGTTTGGAATGATACAGGGGTGAGTAAATCATGATAAAATTATAGAAATTAGGACTGATAACACAACACTCACACAAAGGATACCTGACATAAATTAATTGCAAAGTTACAGAAATAAACCATTATTGTACTTTTGTGCAAATCACTTTTTTCAAAAGGGCCTATACTTACAAATAGTGTAATGTAGGTTGCTGTGAATAAGAGCATCTGCAACTCTTTTCTGATCTGTTTTTGTAGTTATCAAGTCAAGACACCTCTATTTGTATAGTGCTTTTTACAATACAGATCATGTCAAAGAAGTTTCACAATAATAAACAGGAAAAATAGCAGAATCAATTATGGAAACTCAACTATGGAGACAGTTCAGATTCTGCTGTAATGCAGCTCTAAATGACAACAGTGTCATTGATCAGATCAAGTCAGTTTAGTGTTGGTTCAGTTCAAACCAAAAACTATATAGCAGTAATGCTTTTGTATAGCAATGATCCTGAACAAAAGACGACACTTAACATTTAAAGCTCCATTTGTTTTGTCTGAAATCTCTTAGTGCTGCTTCATAATCATGTGTGGTGGAATATCCTTAACTCACTCTCAGACATTACCAAAAACAAACATTATCAAACATCGTTTCTGATCTTTCTATTCATGTTTCAGTGTTCCTGGTCTACATCTCAGTGGTGGTCCTATTACTGATCGTACTGATCGGGTGGCTTTCTCCAGCTCACGGAAAATCCAACATTATGGTGTACGTGGGCATTTGTTCTCTCCTTGGGAGTTTCACTGTGCCCAGCAGCAAAGGTCTGGGACTGGCTGCTCAGGAGGCCTTCAGTGGAACACCTACAAGTGATAGCAGAGCACTTTTCCTCTTCCTGGGGTTGCTGGGAATTCTTGTAGTCAGTATTCTGATCCAGTTCACCTTTATTAACAAAGCCTTGGAGAGCTTCAGCTCTAACATGTTTGAGGCCATTTACTATGTGACGTTCACCTCCTGTGTCATTCTGGCCTCTGCTATTCTCTTCAGGGAATGGACAGCACTTGGCATTGTGGACTGTTTTGGTATCCTGTGTGGTTTCATCACAGTATCTGTGGGTGTTGCCTTATTGCGCATCTCTCAGGAATCAAAATTTTCTTGGAGCCAAACCAAAGCTAAAAAGGACTAACACATGAGTGTGTATTTTTTATCAATAACTGACAGGGTTTCACAAACATTGATTGGATATTATGTATTGATAGTAATTAACCATTGCAGAGCCAAATAAGGGAGAGGTCCTATAACATTTTATATACTATTAATGTATAAATGTAAATGGAATAAAGTAGTTAGTTAATTGCTTACTATAATTTATATTAACCTTTGTTTTGTGTGTGTGTGTGTGTGTGTGTGTGCAGTCAGCCATGGATAAATCAGTCACTCCAATATAAATTTTTTTTTAATTTATATCTTGAATTTTTGCTAACATAATTAGGTTATCTTGGTTTTAATGCCCACATTTAAAAACATAACATTTGTTGAAAAAAATATTAACTTAACCAGGTGAATATAAAATACAAATATGAATGATTTCCATGTTTATATAAAAATAAACTGTCAGGATTTCCGTCTGGAGTAACTATGGTGACAGTTTTGGTCAGACTACCA